AAAACTTTGCCAATTCCTGTCCCAGTGTCCAGTTGTACTTTTCTACCATCCCATCGGACTGTGGGTGAAGTGGCGTTGTCCTAGTCTTTCGGATGCCAAACAACTTGCAGCATTCTTGGAACACAGCCAATTCGAAGTAATGGCCTTGATCTTAATGCAGTTCGTATGGCATACCAAATCTGAAGAAGAAATCACTAATAGCCGAAGCTACGGTTGTAGCTTCCTGATTTGGTATTGCATATATGCTAAAAGGGGACCCAAGCATAAGGGACGTGCTCCAATGAAGTTATATCAAGTTGGTGCACCAATGGAAAGAGTAGCCATTGACATTGCTGGTCCTCTGCCCCAAACTCGTGCTGGAAACAAGTACATTTGTGTGGTGATGGATTATTTCACCAAGTGGCCTGAGGCTGTTGGAACTGTGGGGAACAAGGACATCTGAGGAACCAATGTAGGAAGAATATTACCAACAAGTCGGCCTTAAGGAGACCAGTAGTTGTTGGTGTTGAGCGATGCCCACCAACCCCCATCATGAAAGTCCCAACAGCTAGGTGTAAAATGTCAAGCACACACAGTGTCTATTTGACAGGAAAGCTAGATGGCCAAAGGTGCAACTTTGTCATTGACTCTGCGTCTCAGCAAACCTTTGTGAGCATCAAGGTGTTAGATCATGAAGGAGTAACAGAAGCCATACAGAAGCTTTATGGTATGACAGGACATTCTACAAGGTTGTGGGGACCAGTGTGGGTAACTATCAAGCTCATGGGCATAAAGGACAGACAGGAAGTATACTTGGCTGGCATTGAAGATGAATGCATATTAGGATTGGACTATCTACTACCAAGGAAGTTTGTATTTGATTTTGATAAAATGACGTTTGGGAATAACAAAGGCCAAGTTCCGGTAACTGTTAAAAGAGAGGTTGAGCTGATTGGGTGCCATCAAGCTGAAGTCAAGCCGACTGAAAGAGTTGATGATGGTGAAGTGGAACCAAATATAGATATCAGGGCAGAACAGGAGAAAGATCAAGATTTGAAGCCAATGATTGATTTTCTAAAGGCAAGTGTTTCGCACCCTGCTTGGGAGAAGGGGTCTACCTTAAGCCCTGTGACAAAGAACTATTGGGCACAATGGGAACAGTTGAGGCTTGAAGATGGTATTCTTCTCCAGAGGTGGGAACTGCAGATAGGAAAGTGACGACATGGCAAACTGTTATACCGAGAAAGTTACGGGAAGTTGTGCTGCGTCAATCTTATGGTACTGTAACAGGAGGACATCTCGGAGTTAAGAAACCATTGAGTCACCTACGCCAAAAATTTTATTGGATAGGTATGAGGCGAGATGTGGAAGAATGGTGCAGAACATGCAGCACATATTGCCCTTTCTTGGTAGCAGCCTTTACTGCTGTATCG